AGGAAGGAAGGAAGGAAGGAAGGAAGGAAGGAAGGAAGGAAGGAAGGGGGAACAAAAATACAAAATCAATTTTTCTAGGGCTTACTGCTCTCTTCCAAATAGTACATTGCTGTTTAAATTAGGAGATGCAAAAGGAAATTGTGTCTAGATAGTTAAAAGTACTTAAAAAATCCTATACGCTGCAGTTACAACTGAACAAAGGTAACAGTTTGATATGACTTGTCTATGTATACATAAGATTAATTCAAAATTGGTTGATATGAAAGCATATGAAAGATTATTACATTAAAGGTTTCTTCCTGTTTTTCTTGTATATTGACTGATGTACAGGATGGGTTTGCTAGTAATGATTACAAACAGTAGAGATTAGATAACCAAACAGTTCCTGTTCAGGATTGGTCATTGTTACATGCAGATTTTATTTCTTTTATTATTTCTTCTGGGATCTTTTAACAAGTGAAACTTTGTTTTAGAGAACATAAAGCATTATGTTAGCTATCTTACAATAAAATTTGCTGGCTTTTTCACGTTTCTACTTGTCCTCCAGAAATACATACTTGGTCACTATTACCTCAGTAAGTTTCATATAATTTTGTAATATCGAGGTATGCTTTAAGTTTTTTCAAGGAAATGACAAGAGCTACTTTAAACTGTTTACTCTGAGCCATCTGCTTATTCCTTATCGTATCTTCTGGCCTTCAGACTTAGGTACCACCTTTTCAAGATAAGCAGCTGTTTTCTTACTGAAGGTTTATCCTAAAGCTGTTCAACATTTATTAACAGATTTCATTAGTTTTTCAAGGCCTTTGGCTGAATTAATGTGTTAACAAAGTACTTTGAAAACATTATTCCAAGAATCTGTGTTCTTACACCATATCATCTCACACGACCATAAAAATATCACCCCTAATGGAACCAGAGTTTCTTTTATCTTCTATCTGCATGAAAGCAACTTTTCACAGGATCCGGTAGACTAAAAGGACATCTAGATAATCTCTGCTTGACCTCTTATCAGATACCAGTTTCAGTGAGATCCCAGAACATCAAGCCCAGTTATGTTAGTCAGGTTGAAGTGCTGCAATCCTCACTTATGCCTGAAACCCCGTTGCCCACCTCCTAATCCCTTTTCAATGTTGAAATTGCTTTTTTTTTTTTTTTTTTCTTTGCCACTTCTCCTGTATCTCTATCTGTTTTACTGTTTGTATTAGAAGCATGTACATGCCTAACTTCCTCTTCTACTCCACTTTCTTGGTAAATTTATCTTTCTCATTCAGGAAGAAAGTTTGACCCAAGCACTTGAATCCTAATTAGTTTCAAATGACAAAAAGTGTCAAAAGATTCCTTAGGGATTCTTCAGAATTAGAGAATTAGAAATCCTCAATTTCTTTAGGATAAGGCTTAAACACTTGTGATTACACTGATGGTGGTGAATCCATCAGTGAACTTGTTCTCTTGCACACTGCTGGTTTTGGAAGTTTTGGGGACTCTTTTGGCAAGGCTTAGCAATGTGAAAAAGCAAATTCTAACACACAACTCTGTCAACCTCTAACTAGCAACTAAGCATTTTATAGAAATTGTGTCCCACTGCTCTAAATTGCCTGGAAGCATGGATGCCTATGCACAGGGTCTGGATTTTGATAGCAAGGACACGATCATGCATTGTCTCTACCAAAATCCTGGTTTGGATGGATGCTGAGTATCTTTGGAAATCTAGCCACTTCACTCAAACAGTTTAAATTACAGTAATTTTATTTTAAGGTGATCTGCCAAAAGAAATCTGTAGTAGTCTAAATTATTCTCATTCTATTTAAAATAAATTAAAAAACCAACACCATTAATATGACATGGACGATGGGAGTTGCTCAAGTCATAGAAGATGGCAAAAGTTTATTTTGATCTTTTTTTTTTTTTTTTTTTTAATTAGTAACATTTATGAGAATTCCTGAAAAGTACCTCAAGTAAAATCTTCATTCCAAGGACTCACTTATCTCATACAGAATGATAGCTCTCTCCCTAGTTGTCATATATTTACCAAGTGCTGACCAGTTGTTTTTTTCCCCCTCAAAGGCAAGAAAATCTTTTTTGGAATAACTCCTTGAAGGGCTTTGGATAAGGAGATGTGCAACAAATATTTTGAAGCATATTTTCAAAGTAATATGATTTGAAGTTGAAAATTTATTCTTTCAAGCATTCAGTACAAACACAAAATACTGTGGAAGAAAATAGCATCCCTACAACACATTGGACACAATCTTATTGTCATAGTTGGACTTCAAGCAGATTCAGGAAAGAATGAAATATGTGCTTAATTTAATCAGCTGTAGTGTGCTAACTTCATAGATTTCAATTATGTACTTAAATGTTAGGCATCAGTTTAAACAGATCAGAAATAGAGCCATCTAGAGCCTTGAAAAACTTGGCCCACTGAACACAAAAATTCTTTATGTTACAAGCCATGTATCTTCACAGGCATAATTAAGCATCAAAAGTTATACTATAAATATTTTGGAATGTATCCTTCAACTAACCAACAACTTTAAAAAACGGACTTTTCAAAACAGATTTTCAAAATATAGAATTTTCTCAGTCACTGTTCTGACAATATATCTGCTTTATAGATAGGTTAAAAGAAATGTGTCGTTATCACAGAAAGTAAAATTATAATCACAGTCAAGAGTAAATGATGTTAACTTTCAAACTAATATATGCTGAAAATATTTTTTCATTATTTGTAACTTCTCCATCACTGCTTTGGTTTCAGAGTACTCACTGATCTGAATTCATTTTGCATGTTGTTTCTTCTTAAGTTGTGGTTTCACTGGATTTGGACTTCATACCCAGTGTGCATCATAATTCCAAATTAACATATAAATGTCTTGCTATTGAGCATTAGTTAACCTTTACATGTACTTATTTAATACAGTCTGAAAAATAAATCCACATTTTCCATCTATAAATTAAAT